AAAAAAAAAAAAAAAAAAAAAAAAAAAAAAAAAAAAAAACGAAAAGCCTATGATTCTAAAATCATGTATAATGTCAATATACAAGTATAAAAGTACATATTTAGTGTAAATTAATGATTACATCTTTGTGTTGTTCTATTTTATTAACTACTACGAACAATTATGTGAAAAAACTAAAAATTTGTCGAATAAAGACACCATTATGTAATAAATAAAATATAAGAAGCAATGAAAATACAACAATAAAGTTCTTCGACGAAAGAAATTTAAATACACGATCGAGAAAAACCGGCACGAAAGATCATTAAAAATACATGTTGGTATATTTTTTGTAATTTGAGCGGTACTTTGATATCGGATTTTCATATTTCAATATTTTTCAATAATTGGTTGATACATTTTGCGTAGTAAGTTTTTCCGCTCTTTGTAAATAATATTATCATAGTTTCAAAAAAAGACATGATACTTTAAGATTAATGGAAAATGTTGTAAATTTAAATATATATGTATATCATTCCAATTTGTAAAATATCCGATATATCTTTGAAGTTACATTTTTTTTAATTTTCTATCGATTTTTAATTTTTGTAAGTTAATTCCAATGATTGAAACGATTGATTTTATAATGAACAGGCAGTTAAAATAAAAGAATGTGAGAAATACAGAATTTTTAATATACTTTGGATGTTAGCTGTGTAAAACATATTCATTGGAGAATAATAAAATAATTTAATAATGGAATAAAATAATAAAATAACAATTTGATGACGTTACTTGTACCTAAAATGTTACACTGTGCAAAAAATAAACACTTTTTTTTACATTTGCAATATCCACTATATTTTCAATATCTACAATTTTTTAAAAACAATTTTTTGTGAACATTCTCAATGTAAAAAATCCCAGAAATTATATGTGGAAATTAAATTGCTTAAAGATTTTGTTTAGTTCTAGAAACGATTTTTATACTAATACTGACTGTAAAAAAAAACTAGGAAATTTTGTCAGTTTAAAAAAGAGCAAAATATTTACTATATAATTTATCATATTTTGTAAATAATCCTGTAAAAGAAATCCTTCGGAAAAAGTGGTGAAAAGTTAGTTTCTCATTTACAACTGCATTAATGCATGCGAAGAAAATGCAGAAATATTAAACACATAATACTATTTAATTTTGTTTTCTGTCTTTAATTTTCTTATTTAATAATTTTAAAAATACTACAGCTAATTTTTTTAAAATCTTGTATACAATAACATTTCAAAGTCATAGGTATTTATTTATATAATGCTACGTTCCAACGCTGTGTGGCGTTATTTTCTCGCTTTATAATACAATTTACTGAGTAATTTAAATACAATTACAATACAGAGTAATTTAAAAAGCAACGCTTCAAAAATTATAATATGGATATGGGTATATAGAGTATTGCTGAAATAAAAACACACGAATGTTAAAAGTGTGTTCATTTTCGCTGGGATAGATCGGTCGTGTCTATCTTTGAGAGATGAGCTTGATATTCGTCAAGTTCAAATCTCAAAATCATCATTACAATACATAATTTGTCATTGGCGATATTTATTTCATGATCTGCTGTTCTGTTTTCTGTATACAAGATGGCCAGAATTTAATAGTTGAACTACTTGTTACGAGAGAAAATATTTATAAATTAAGCAAAAAACACTTTTATATTTGAACTTTTTTTTCGTAATGTAATTATATTACATATTTATTTATTCTCTTTAAGCAACAGTTAAATAAAAATAGAGTACATACAAAATATAAATATAAAACAGTTCTATCATTGACTACCGACGAAGTATATGAATAGACATTGCACTTTACTGACTTTTGTGGCTCGTAATCTGAAATACCGATATATTAAAAAATCATTAGTTTTTTAGTGCACTCTACGTTTAGACAACAGTGAGTTGGAAAACTAGTGACGGAACCAGCAATATAATCTTTGAGACCCGTTATAGAATTGTCAAACTTTCAATATCGGAATGTAAAGCTCGTCTGTGACTATACCAAGTAAAATGATACGAGCAAAATGTTTAATTGTATCTCCAGATTCCAAAACACGAGATTAGTATTTAAAATTATTCAATTTTTTATCATGTATTTATGTCTGTGTCAGAAAGGGCTCTATTCGTGTTTTACGAATTCATCGATTTGTTCTTCGTTGGAAACGATAAAATTAATACTTACAACAAGATGTTTACTGAAGTATATTTAGGGACGAAATATATTTAGAGTGCACCTGGATATTTAATCAAAAAAGAGACATAGAACAAGTCTATTGCATTTTATCAACTCGTATGTTTTGAAATATCTATCAAAATCCAAAGTCTAAATACAGTATTTAAAAATGCATTATATTTTACACGTCGTCATAAAAAAGTTCAATCCATAATTTTAGAAATCAATAATCTCCCTAACAACTCGACAAATCTTTTAATTACATAAAAACTAATCGTGATCGCAGCCAATTGCTTGTTATATAATTTATAATTGCATCGCAGAAGTGCAATTAGTAATTACATCACAAATAACAACGATTGCCTCACCACGTTGCTACGTGCCGAAACAAATCTTGAAACACTGTCCTTAGTTTTTGATTTTCGCGGTACTGGCAATACTGTTCTTATTTTTTGATTTTCGCGGTACAAAACTTGCTGAATCGATACGACAGGATGTGTCACGAAAATGGTAACGGGACATCGGGTGCGCCAAAATCGTGGCCGAAAAAATATATGGCTATGGTCTATATATCTAAAAAATATAAGCTATAAAAATATGTGGCTTGGTCTATTCATATACCTCGTTTGTGACTATACCACTTTGTTGGTGATTAACTAATAATTTTTTTTCCTGATCGGTATTGCAGAGCTTGAGACATGAAGTTTTTTTCATATGTAACCTATTCTGTGCTACAAGTGCACAATTTAATAATGAATTATGTATTATAACTTCTTTCATCAGCAAATTATAAATTTAAGTAATAATAAGAGATAATAAAGCAATTGTATATTTTATCATTCAATACGTATTTATTATTTAAATATCACTACTTTTATATCAAGAGATTTTTCTACCAGTTAACACAAGAATATTAATCTGTATTTTAATTTAGATGATGAAATAAAGAATTTAAGTAATGAAATTTTGGAAAAAATATAAATTGAATATCGTTTTCAAATAGATGTTTAAATTAATGTCAACTTTTATTGTTTTACTTCAATATGACGTGCGGTTGTAACCACGTGTTGTGACAGTGATAAATTCAATTTAAGATTTTTTTAATGGTAACAATAGTATTAACCAATTATTGAGTTTAATCAAATCATCATTATAAAGTTTATAGATATACATATGTTTCACGGTAATATTACAAAATTTCAAACATTTTATGAACATGTTAATATAACATTACAACATAACCTATTATTCGCCGGTTACATTGTCTATTTATAACTTATAAATTATTATATCATAATTTATTTCATTATCTACAATATCCAAATTAAATATATGTTATAGTTATTTATTTTATTATATTATATATTTTTATTGTTATATTTAATGTAATGTAACAGTATATACTGAATTGAAATAAAATAGTAAATACATATTGAATGATAAAATATACTAATGTACTAAAGTGTTATACTAATTAAACTGCTACTTACAAATATCATTGTTACATTTTTACAGATGCTTAAGTATCGTGAATCAATATCTGCATTTGCAATGTATGCTATGAAGCGTAAAAATATAGAATTATCATCAAATTCAAAGAAATTAAAGAGAAAACACAGTCCTTCAAATAAAAGAACAGTTTTAAAGAATGAAACAAAATTGAAAGTGCAGAAAAAGGAAAAACAGACATCTTTTCATAAAAAGATTCAAGAAACAAAGAAAGTTCCAAAGATAATAAATGAAATTCAAAATGTAAACAAAATTTCTTCTATAACTTCTAAGAAAAGTAAATCAATTCAAAAGTCAACACAAAAAGAAGAAGATAAAGAAATACCAATTCCCTGTTCAAAGAAAATTGAATTGAAGAAAAAATTAAGAAGTTCTGTCCTAATGACAAATAAAGGTGTTGCAAAAATGAAATGTATTAAACAAAAGCAACAGAAACGAATTAAAAACAGAAGATCAATAAAACAGGATATTCAAGAAACTGCCAATACTAATTGTAACATAATTGAAGAAAATCATGAGAATCCATTAACAACAAGTCGCTCAATGTTTGAATGGTTAATACATCCTATGAAAGTTGAAGACTTTTTTGAGTAAGTTTAGAATAGTTACATTTTATTATTTTATTTGTAATTACTAATAATTAATTTAATGAATTAATAATTTCTTAAATAACTTGTTCCAGAAAGAATTGGGAGAAGACACCTGTTCATATTAAGAGAAATTTTCCCAAATATTATAAATTACTTATGTCTACTCCAATGTTAGATTCCATATTGCGGGAATTTTATATTTTATTTACAAAAAATATTGATATTACTTCGTATGAAAATGGCGTGAGGGAAACGCATAATCCTGCTGGCCGTGCAGTTCCAAGTGTTGTTTGGGATTATTATATGAATGGATGCTCTGTTAGAATGTTGAATCCACAAACATATGTATCAAAATTACATTCATTAAACGGTATTTCCTTGAATAGAAATATTCATTATTCAACAATTTTTTCATATAAAAATATAAAAATAACATAACTTTTTAATGTACAATTTAGTTTCTATTTAATATAGTTTCTCATTCTAAAAAATATAATTTCTATTTAATTTCTATTTAATTTCTGTATATCATTACCAAACATAACGTAGTTTATTGATACTTTTCAGCTACACTTCAGGAATTCTTTGGCTGTTTTGTTGGTGCAAATTCTTATTTAACACCTCCTAATAGTCAAGGCTTTGCGCCACATTATGATGATATTGAAGCCTTTATATTACAAATTGAAGGTAAAAAGAGATGGAGATTGTACAAACCACGAAACGAAAACGAATACTTAGCAAGGTATTCTTCAAAGAATTTTTCACAATCCGAAATTGGTGAAGCTATATTAGATACAGTTGTAAATGCAGGAGATTTGCTGTATTTTCCACGAGGAACGATTCATCAGGGTGAAACTATTGATGATACACATAGTCTTCACATTACACTGAGTGTGTATCAAAAAAACAGTTGGGGTGACTTTTTGGAAAAGTTGCTACCAAATGCATTAACAGCTGCTATAGAAACAGATAGTGAATTTCGAAAGGGATTGCCTATTGATTACTTGAGACAATGTGGATTTGCCTATTCTGAAATTCAGAATAGTACCAAAGATGAATTTAAGGAAAAAATAAAATATTTATTCAGTAAATTAATAGAATACATTGACATAGATAAAGCAGCAGATTTAATGGCAAAAAATCACATTCATGACTTTTTACCACCTGTTCTTTCTGAAAGTGAACAGAGATGTTCTGTTGTCCAAGACGGTGAACAGATGATTGAAAATGGAATTGTTGAAAACAGAGTAGAGATAGAACCTGATACAAGAATTCGATTATTAAGATCTCATTGTATAAGGTATGGTTTAACAAGAATTGTAATACTAATTATTTATAAATTTACTTCAAAATTTATATCGAAACAAAAACGTTATTTAAAAATGTTATTCGTCGCGTAGGTTAATTAAAGAAAAGGAGACATTTAGGATATATTATTCAACTGAAAATTCTAAAGAATATCACGAATATGAGCCACAATTTTTAGAAGTTGGTGAAAAGTTTGTACCTGCTATTCAAGATATGATATTGCGATATCCTGAATTTATACGCGTAGAAAATTTGCCAATTGATGGTGAAGATAATAAGGTAAAGAATTAATATTATATGGTAGAACCTCTCACACCTTTGTTATACATAGACTTTATAATTTAATTAAATATAGTAATAGAAGATTTAAATAATGAATATTCGGATATGAAAGGATATGATATCAACTGTGCAATGTTTTTCATTATATCTATTCAAAAGATAATTTAACATTTTCAATTATTTGTATTTGACAGGTACAGATAGCTAAGGATCTTTGGGAAAAAAATCTTATTGTAACAGACAATCCATTATGTGTTTTGGAATAATTGTACATTTAAAATAATTTGTAAAAAAAATGAATAAAAATATAAATATCAAAACTCAATGATTCCTAAAAGTATTAATAGTACAATTTGATATGTGTATACAGAAAATATGTATTACAATATTATTTAAATATATCTTTATAG